TTATAATTATAATTAATAAAATAATAATATTTATTCATTAATAAATTAAAGTTATTTAATAAATTAATATTTTAAGTACTATTTAATAAAAAAAGAAGTACTTAAATTTGTGTGACCATTAACACATCCCTCTTTTTGGCTTCCCCAGCCCTAGAGAGGTACAGCAATTCTCCTATGTTGTTTTATTTTTTCTTCAAAATAAAGGGATAAGGGATTTCTAAAATTTTTTGTAATCTCATGAAACAAAAATTATTAAATAAGAGGCACCTATAACATTAATTAATTTTTAAATTAAATAAATTAAATTATTTAATCTAAATTATACTATTTTTTTTTCTATATTGACAACTGCCCATGAAGGTTATTTAAAAAATAATAATTGAGGAAAAAGTCAGAGAAGGATAGGGAAATGTTGTTTTTATGCGGAGAAATGTGTACAAATCTTACTTCCGGTCATCTACCAGCGGTCCAATTTCTCCCCGTATAAAGCATTTTTTTCTTTTTGGTTATTTATTTAAGACGTGGACTCATGAATTCCCACACACTCTAATTTAGTGATTCTATAACTCCACCAAGCGATGTGATAAGCTGCGCCGTCTCATTGAGAGAAATGAAATGTTCATCAAATTTAAAAATTGAATTTTTAATTGTTAACAACTAATAAAATTAATCTATTAATCATTGCACTTGTAAAAATAAAAAAATTTAGTGATTCTAACTTTACATTAGTACATATTACTTTTTATAAATTATGTACCTAAATTTATAAATCTCATTTTTTTCATTCGCCAATTACTGAGATACCTAACTAATTTTAGTTTCTTGAAAAAAAAAAGAAAGTTATGGACTCAGTGCCCCATGGAGGCTAAGTGGATAGCCATTTTTGTGTCAAAAGTAAACTTGTAGGGTTATTTATTCATGACACCTGTCATGAAATGGTTGAGCTTATTCGCATCAATAATTAAAAGGCATAACTCGACAAAATTCAAAAATCAAAATTTTAAGATTTTTTTAATAAGTACAATCAAAATATTTTTAAATAAATTTTTACCTATCTTAAAATTAATTGATTTTTGTGTGATCATAAAAAGCATTTGTTTAATACGTTAAAAAAATTATTTTGATTCTTAACTTGAGACTTGAATAAATTTTATTTATAAAATGATATTTATTTATTAGTAATTCAATTATTGACTTAAGTTTTTAAGATTTATTATATGTTGAATTTTTAGGTCAAATTTATGATAAAACAATTAAAGAAAAGGATAAATTAAAGTATTCTAATATTTAAAAAATGCCAAAACTTTTTATAAAATTATTTTAATATTATCAATATATATTTTATATATTAATTGATTAAAATTATTAAAATAATTTCATAATAAATCTTAATATTTTACTTATCAAATAATCTTTATTTTTCACTATCTGATCAATTGTTGACTAATAGAAAAGAGAAACATTCCAAGAAAATTAATTTGGATGGGAGTGTTTTGGCCGTATCCCGTGCGCGTCCACGTGCTTATCTCCTTAACAGTTAACACTGAAGCCAAGTCAATGAATTTCTGTGGGCCTCTTTATGATTAAGCAGTTACGACTTAATAAATTTCTTCTCCACCCCTTTTTTTTTTTTTTTTTTAATTATTAACATGATATCTTACTATCACATTAAATCTTATTTAATTTGAAATTGAGTTGCATCAGATCTTATTAAAAGATAAATTCTCTTAATATTTGTTTTTTTATTAAAAAAACTTAAATTTAAAATTTTATTTTAAAAAAATTAAATTTTTTTTACCCAAATTAATAAGTAGTTGATTGTCTTTGCATTATTTATCACATGTATGTCATGCTTTAAACGGACGAGGAAAGACTAATGGGCCAGGAGCCCATCACGTCCACTGCTGGTGAGATCTAGTCCATCTGAATATGTCAACTGCATGGTTTAGAGACTTTTTTGGCCCCATGAAACTCTTCAAATTTCTTTCCTAATGGTTTAGAGCCTTCTGGCCCCATGGAAATTCTTCAAATTTCTTTCCTAATAGTAATAGGTTCTAAAAAGAATCCCTTTTATTTCAATTCCGATTGCATAATAAAAGTATATCTCGGGCACTTGATACTGAAATTATAAAAATACTTTTAATAAAACCATAAATGTGGCTATAGTATAAATAAGGCACACTATCAAGATCAGGCAAGTATTCTATCTCAAGCTTTTATAAAATCACACGAGGCAACCAGAATAAAGGACCTTGGCCAATTATTAATGTATAAGACATTTTTTTTAAAGTAATTAGTAAACAATAACATAATTTTCCATATAATAAAATGTTAGAAATATTTTATAGTAATTTCAACACAATCTTTCGTGTGGTCTGCTAGAGTTGTGCATAGATTTAGATATAGTTTTTTTTTTTAATTTTTGGTGTGGATATTGATGCTAAACAAATTAAAAACAAAAATGAGGTATGTGAAAGTTGGCCCGAAAAGGGGATATTGTGTGGCAATATGCACCGAACAATCTTGGCATTCAAAGAAGACCTCGGTCTTGGACTGGAGAAATGCAATGGGTACTCAGAACTTGCAGGGGCAGGAACACAAGAGCAAGGAAGATACAATGTATCATACAAACAAGGCCTTGCTTGTACATTTTACACTCTATGGCAAGAAAGAAAACAGCGAGAGTTCCAACAGTAGACAAGAGAGACCCTGCGAGTTGGTGCTTTGAGTGTTTGTTACTAGCACAAAATTTTGTTTTGTTTGATTAATTGGATTGATAACCTGGATATGCTGAAGGTATGGAATGTAACTACCCGTTTTTTAGTTTTTCAAGAAGCAACAAAATTAAAGTTCTTTGAAAAATTGCAAACCAAAGAACTATTGAATAAGGAGACAAACAACTTACAAACATTAGGGAGCACACACTAATCCAATGGTTTAAGTAATAGAAACACTTTTTTTAATAAAACTAAACCATACTTCGAAAAATAATAATAATAATAATAACATGAGGAGTTTGCATTAATAATTTAACAGCACATACTACACTTTTCTTGTACAGACTGAAACACATTTTGTAATGATATCTGGATTCCATTATCATTCTGCAGGAGGGGGGTTGACAGGGAATGAAACATCTATAATCAATCAGCACTGCTGAATGGCAACCTTTTTTTCTCTGGAAAGCAGAACCATAGTTGGCAGCTTTGACAAAATCAAAGCACTAATGATTCCCTACCCCCGCCCTCTAAGTTCTAGACTACTCTAAAAACAAAAACTAAAAAGAATTCAATCCGAATCCTGTTTTACAATCTGAACTGCACCACAGATTTTTGAATTCACAAATTTCATTACATTCCCAGTTTATCACAGAATTTTTACAACATTCATCTAAAAACCCCTAAACCATAATAAATCATTCTTTTCATTTTAGCGGATATTATTTATTTATTTATTGGGTTAAGGTTGTAAAATTTACCCAAGACCTACGAATAAGAAAATGAAGATTGGGATCGATGGAGCACAGAGCTGCAAGAAGGGCACCTGATCAGACCATTAACGTTGCAAATACTACAGCTCCGAAACCCAGATTTCTCCGAATAGATCTTGTGGCTGCCATTGCACTCTTCGCATAGGGAGAAGCCCAGCCCATCGCACATGTTACAGACACTTGGGCCCACTAATGGTAGCCCACAAATCATCTTCGACAGATCTCCACTCTCGTGGAGCTGTTTGATCTCGTCGGCTCCGCCGACGTATCTTCCGCCGATGAAAACTTTGGGCAATGTAAGGTTTCTCTGCCCTACGATCTCCTCCAACTCGTCTATAAAATTGGAATCCAAGGATAGATCCCGTTCGTCGATCGGTACGCCGAGTCCTCGGAGGATTGATCTCACGGTCCGGCAATCCTCAAAGGTCTTGCGGATAACGCGAAGGCTGGTGAAGTAGAGAATGATGCGGCGCTCGGCATTGGGGATGGCAACGGGAGGGATTAGCGATTGGGTGAGATGGTGGTGGCCCTTCGTAAAGGAAATGGATCTTGAGAGTTTAAGCCGGTGGAAAATGGAGGGAGTCTTTGGGGACCCAGGAATGGGTGTGGGTTCTTCCCTAATGATATCGTGGATGTCTTTGAGTGAAGTGAAGGAGAAACGCGACGGCGACCGCGGCGTTCTGTCTATTCTTAGCCACTGAGGCATCGTCTAGAGAGGGAGAGTCGGTAGAGAGGGAGGAGGGAGCCAGGGAGGGCGTAATTTGTAGGCATTTAGGGCGTTATAAAGAGGCTAATTAGGGAGGCGGGAGGCGGGGGGCGAAGGGCAGGGGGCGTGCGGTTTTGTGGCAAATTGGTGTATTATTATCTTTTAAGGAAACCTATACTAAGTTTGGCAACAACTTCGCTTTTATTTTAAAATAGAAGCGCAGTTTGTCTGTATAAAATATATTTTTATAATTAGAGATTTATTTTATAGTATAAATTTAATAAAATTATAAAATAAAAAATTTAATATTAAGATACTCATTTTTTTTAATAATTAATTTAATATAATTTAAATTACGAGTTATAATTATTAATGAAGTAATGGATCCCTCGATGTTAAGAGAACCCACCACTCTAATAATTAAAACTAATATTGTCGATGTAGAATGAATTACATTACAACATTCTCAATATAAAAATAAGATTTTTTTAAGATATAAGATTAGAGTGTAATTATTATATTTTTTTAACATTAATTAATATTAAAAAAACATAAAAATGATCATAAATTTCATCATTAAATATTGCATGAATAATTTTAATTAAGTAGTTACTTAAATGAAAATTAATTTTTATTTTTTTAATACTAATTACAATAAATAAATAATAATTACACTATAACTTGTTCATAAATTTTAATTGATAAAAGAGTAGGTGATTTGTAAAGAACAAATATTTTCATCTTTCATTCACAAATTGCTATCCTTTACTCATATTTTAATTTAATGGTTTTTCTAACCTAATCTATGTCCTAGGTTAATAATACTTTTTTGTCATAAATATATAAAAAATGTAAAAATTGATATTAATTTTAATGTGTCAATAAAATAGATTTAATTAAATAGTACATAAATTAAAAATTATTTTTAATATAAATTTATAATAAAAATATATATTTATTACATTTTAAAATTAAATATTAAAAAAATCCTTAATTTAAAAGAAAATGATTCTGTTTATTTTCTCTATTACTAACTTAATAACTAAGTTACTTCCAAAAAAATTCAATAAGTAATTTTCTTTATTTTATTTTATTTTATGTTTTGATTAACAAATATTTTTTTTTTGAAAAGCAGTTTTGATTAACAAATATTAATTCTTTTAGACCTTATATGTTGATTGATTAAATGACTTTATTAGTGAAAATACAATGTTCCAGCAGGGTTTGAGCTAGTGGATTATAAAAACTTGAGTATTCATCTACAGAAATGTTCTAATGATTAAAAATTCAAATAATAAATTTGGTGTAAGATATTTCATTTTAGAACTAAGTAGAACTTAAGGGTTTCAAGGCATATTTTCTATTCTATAACACATTTCTAATTAAAAAAAAAAAAAATCATATATTATTGCTTTCAATTCTTATTTTTCTACTAAGATGGGGGGCATATACCTTATTGCAATTTTCCTTCTTTTCTTTCTTTCTTTTTTTTTTTTTGTAAAAAATTTTGAAATAGTTAGTATTTGGAGGCCCATTGTATCCACTTGACAGAATTCAATCTTTCTCGGATTCGAAGAATTGTTTGTTCATAGATATTAAGGCAAATAAATGGAAGGTCCTACGGATATTCACCTTGGTTGTTTTATTTTATTTTATTTTATTTTATATTAAAGGGTCAGTTACATGGTATAAGAGAACCTGTTACCTTGGGTGATAAACACAAATAATCATAAACTAGTAATTACATGTGCATTTTTGAATTTTTTAATATTATTTAAGTAGTCATGGGTGTATTGAGACTGACTTTTGGACTAAGGATTTCGTCACTACAAAATAAGTGTTGTCTTTTACGTCAAATTTAGGGTTTAAATCTTGATACTAATATCAAAGAAATTTAATTTTTTTAAATGTACTAAATTAATGTGAGAATATATCCTTAAAATTACCCTAAAAAATTCAATTTTTAGATATCTGAAAACTGATTTGGGATACCATAATCTTATATACAAAAAAAGAAAAAAAGAAAAAAGAGAGACTGAATTGGATTGTTTTCCAAATAAGGTATGTTCGCCCACCTTATTTTTCCCTATATTGGCATTACTAACCAACTATGGAGTGATGCTTATCTGATCATGGAAAAATGCACTGATAAGCTTCTAAAATTTTCCTAATTTCTCACATATATCCTAAAAAAAAGGGGCACAAAAATCCCTAAATTCCCAATCTTAAGGCCTATTTAATACAATAATTAAAATCTAATAGACAATGTATAGAAAATAATGGATAATGGTAATGGGTAATAGTTAGCAGATAACGGATAGTAGATAGTAAACAATGGGTAGCAAATAATAGATAACAAGTTTCAATTGATATAACTACTTGTTTATACAATGATTAATAAGTATTGTTTAACGTTAAATAA